TTTTCATACCTACAGTCTCACAGTGATTCCAAACAGGACCTCCATAGAAAAAGTCACGAAAGTTGGGATGGAAAACACAGCAAAATTTATCATTGAACGCATTTGCGCTTCAGTGAACGTTGCGATTCCTGTTCCAGTCACAGCCGTACTTCCCCTTTTCACTATCAGGACACCGTGGAAAGAGGATGTGAAAAAGCTATGGGAACTAATCGTGGTCAGAAAAGTGCAAAATTGGCGTGCATGCTACGAAGGGCTGTGTGGTGAAAACGATGAGTAGACATAGTAGGACTGGCAGTGGTTAGCATACTTTCGCTCCACCTAAAGACGGGGATAAATCTTTGACGGAACTTTTGCTCTGCTATTATGACGTGGAGATTAGCCGAACAGAAGGTCGGCTTAACGTAAGAAACTGGTCTTTTCAAGACTTTCTACGATTTCTTGAGGAACAACTACCCGATGAATTGGAAGGATATAAAAGAAAAATATCGATCTGATAGACAATTCATATCCTGGAGATGAAGAGGGCGTGACTAGGTACCTCATTTGAACCTAACATTAAATACGTTTTTTGGGGCATATTTTTGCTTGAGACAACTGTCATCTGGCCTACTGCAGCGCGAAGAAATGCTTACTATAGTCGCTAAACGGTAATACTCTGCTAAAAAGTAGATAAATATCGCGTTGAATGAGGTGAGCGGCCACGCCCCCTCCATCTCCGCAACATGGAGTTCACAAAGGCTACACGAGATGAAAGAGAAGGGTATTCTGTGGTAAGGCACCCGAGCGGTATTAGAAACCTTTATTTACAAGTTAGATGACGCTTACTTTGGGCAAAACTAGAATTAGAATTAATGGAGATGTTTCGCTTAAGCTGTAGGCCTGCGGTGTGAGTGAAGCCGCAATGTAAATGCAGTTTTAGCGCTAAAACTCAGTTTCGCCAGAGAAATTCCTCAGCCGCTTCACCACGCCTCCCTACCCGTTTATGCAGGGCCTGTTGAAAATATTCAACGAAACTAGTAAGCTACTTCCACTTCAGATAGAAGCATGCAAGTCCAGCAAAAGATGGCATTTCAAAAGCCTCATCCCGGGAGCTCTTTCCGATGGGCTGGGCGCGGAAATCCTCCTTCTTCAATGCCCGCAATCGTTTCGTCGCACTTTCGAGCACATAATGCACTCCACTATAGTGCACCCCAACGTAAGAAATGGCTTCAGAAACCACAAGCGCACGACATTTTTGAAGATGTTGAAGACTCTTCGCAGCACAGCCGTACCGTAAATCCGTACAGATCAAAAACTAGGGAAAGGATGTAGATGGAGGGTTACAACAAGCAGTTTGGCAGAAAGTCAAATAACTAGTATTAATTAATGATGTATTTCCAATGTATAAACAAAACTACTGTAAATATTGGCCTCAGGGCCCACGTCATACGTCGAGACCCGAAAAAACAACGTCCCGGGGACGCGCTTGACCAGAGAAGGAGAAGGGCCTTCTGTCTTCTTTTGAGAAAAATATTTTTGGTTGCTGACTTTTCTTGATTTCCATTTTCTAATTCCTCCGCTCCCTCCCACTCCATGCGTGTAGTTTTTTGAGGGCAAAAACTGGCGAGAATCTTTCAAGAAACAATAAAACATGCAGACAAAGTTGCAACAAGATCAACGGAGATCAACGGCGAGTAGGGGGGCCTTACTAGAGAAAAAGATTTTAGTCGTGAGCAGCTCGTTACTCGCAAATTTTCCTTAACGGCAAGGCCAGCCCTACTATCGGACGCCCTAATTGACAAACATAGAAAATACAAATTCAAAATGATTCAAAAAAGCACACAACCAGTACAAGGTTGAATGATATATCAGCAGCCGTGGTAAATCGGTATGTCAGTAAGACAACCCGATATACCGTCTGCTGCGCGGGGGGGTCGTGGTGCATCGACTCGACAATGAATGAAATTTCGTGCCCGGTCCTTCGAAAAAAGTCAAAATTGTTTCGCCGAAAATTCGATGCTAGCCCATCATGCAGCTTTTTCTTAGCTTTAGTATCATAACCAATTTTGCTAGTTCAATCGAGAAACTGATGGATGTTAAGCTATTACCGAGCATGGCCGCACGACAAGCCGCGCGCGACGACGCGCCAAATCACGATTTTCTTGTCCGCCTCTCGTGAGAGTAGCATTTCATATCTTAAAGAACTTCAGAAAAGAGGATACTGGAGTGCTGAAATCATCTCTGAGATTTTCTTTCTTCTTTTTCTAGAGAAAGGTAATTCTGGGTTATTTTGGGCCTTTTTTCGAACATTTGAAATTTTACATGTTCCTTATTAGCTGTGATCTAATTCCCCAGATGACTCCCTTTTCTTATGGCACCCAAGTTTTTCTTCCAGAATTTTACTGGTTCTTGCGTTCTACATTCTTTGTTGGTGGCCCGATCCAGTTGAAATGTCAGGCCAATTCAATAAAAGTTCATCTAGTCATGCGTAAAATACCAAAAAAATCTAGTCATGAGTTGAACACCGGAAAAAAACTCTCAGCATACATAGCACACAAAAAAACTGTAAATTGAATAAAAGGTTTCCCAGTCACGCATCAAATACAAAGAACCATCACAAAACCGCATCAAACAAATTTGCGGCACTGGCCTGCCACGACATGAGGAATTGATGTGAGCAGCTTCTTTTCCGGGATACGCCACGCGCCCGACTTCCATTCAGGATTGTGGTGACTTTTGAAAGGACTTTAGGGTACAGAACGATTGCACCCCTGCGAGAGCCTTGGGTTATTCAGTATTAATCATCTCCAAAACCCACAAACCTGCCCGATACAGGGAACATTATCAGGCCACGGAAAATTTTTTTTAAGCACGATCCCCCACACCACCGTTTAAGCACAATCTCCTGTTCGGGCCTCACCTTTCACAATCCGGCTACCCTCTTTCTGACCGACCTCTCCCAAAACTTTACCCTCGATCGAAAGATCCCCGCTAGCTTACACTGAAAATCAATCATCTCAATCTCTTCTAATCTACCATTTATTTCACGGCCTGCGACCAGCTTTGCTACGCACAGAGAAATATTGCAAGTTAAATCAATCTCTATTAGCGTACTGTCCCACAACAGTTCCTAGTGACACTTCTTTGATCTCGCTATTTCAGATTTTTCCGCGCCATTTCGAGATCCGTTATTTTTATGGCCGAAGTGTGTGCAGGTAGGTCATTCCAGCAGCTTCTTCCCGTCGCCTCGCCAGTCCTGTTCTCATATGAAAAACGGTAATTGAAATTCATCATTTTCGACACACTTCGCTATATGGATCTCTACCAAGCCACAACGTGGTTCGAGCCATAAGCGGCATTTCCCTTATTTAGATCTTGATGTTAGCTTCCACAGTACGGCTTTGGAATGGCTCAATTGCTTCTGCTTTAGTGACTTCTATCCGGCGCTGAAAAAACTTCGTCCAAGGAGGCCACCTGCCTTGGATTTGGACCTACTGTGTTCCTTGATTAAAACCAATTCGTACGAATCAACTTGCTACCTAGTCCTTACACTTGACTGGTCCCAAAGCACAAATGAGAGAAGGCCTCGCTCCCTTAGAAAAGTTCTGAAGTCTGGTTCAAAATCTTTTCTCCATGGAAGTTGACACGCTACTCCAGGGCGAGACCATGATGTGGGTACTGTCTACAACTTCTCTCCCTCTTCCGCTGTACAGGCTGGTTGAACAGCACTGTAACTGGATATGGAGTGGGTGCCTCTAGTTGAATCACTCCTGGGAAGCGCCACGGTAGATCCCCAGAACAGCGCAGTAACCGATTCGTCGCAATCTATCAATCAGTAGGGTCGGTGTTGTGAGGCCTGTGATATAGTGGTGCGGTACCTTCTTCGCTATTCGAACACGGAATTCCCCTCCTCCAACGCTTAATGGTAACACAGGGTGCCTATTGTAATCAATGCCAAAAGTGGGGTGGAAAATCTCTACCATTTGGTCCCAAAACCGAGCAATGTTTGCCTACTCCACCACACCTCGGGGTCAAACATTTGGAAAACGACACTGCTCGAGATCCCGAAGCTTAGCTGGGGAATTCCACCACAGTCTTCGTGTAGCCCTGACTTAGCTCTTTCCGACAACCATCCAAACTATATCCCACCACGCGGCCATCTCTTCTTCGGTAAAAAACACATACGACTTTCTTTGATACACATCGAAAATGACCCAGTGCCTCTCTCTGGCAACAGACACTAATGACGCCTGCTTCTGGGAGCAGGGCACCACCAACTACATTGCAGTAAGTGATTGGCAACAATCGTCTTGCCACTATGCACAGGTGACCATACACTATAAGCTGATCGAACAATGCTTCACCCATGGATAAACTTAATTCTGGAAACAAAAAAAAAAAAAAATAAAAAAACTGTTCTGAAAGTGTCCCAGAACTTTATGGGCTACAACCTGATATTATAAACTTTTACGATCCTTTCATGGTTTATTCTGAAGTTTTCTTGGAATAAACTTTTGAAGTTTTCACATTGCTTTTCACCACCAATGTTAATCTCTTCTGCTTTCTACCATCTATTAGCTTTTCGAAGAACCCGTCACTCTCTCCTACAAATTGAAACTTTCCACACAGTTTGGCTTGGTGGGGGCACCAGATGGCACACAGCAAAGCTTGTAGTGGCCACCTTGTGAAGACTTATAAATCCTTCTTACCGACTGGCTCACTTCTACCATTTCAGAGTTTCACAAGAAATACAGGTTCTATCGAAGTGAGACCTATTTTTTATCATGAGGTGACTAACGAAATTGAAACGTCCCCTCCAAGCCAAACACTGCCAATCTTTCCGCCTTGGTGACCATGAAGAGGAATTGCCTCCGCATTCCGCCTAATCTTCCCATTTCGGGCTATGTTTGCTTAACGTTTCCCGTCCCGGAATAATCACCGTATTTAGACGTGGCTCGTGGCAAAAAAACATACACGCATACTGTGAGTCATAGCCATTCGGTGAGACTCACGGAAAACTTTCAACATCGATTTTTAAAGCCAAAAAAATAAAATAATGAAGTACCTTCAAAAACCTGGTAGAGCTTGAGCCCAGGTTCGAGTGGGATCTTCTCGGAGGTGTCGCCACAGTCCTAAAAATTGAAGAAATTTGTTACGGTAAAGGAAATAATTAGGAATGTTGACTCACGGGAAAGTGCGCTATCAAGTACGGTGGTCCATCGATGTCCACGGCATGGTAACGCTGAAAAAAAGAAGTCATTCTTTCGATGGGAGACCTTATGTCACCCTTAGTACTTGACAGCTCTTGTCATCGCTAAGGCAATTTTCTGCCCATTTTTCATCTCCACACAATACAAGGACTCGTTGCCCCCGTCTTGGATTTGAGTGAGGATTGTCGCGCTATGTTGGGTGTCCTTGGAAGGAAGAGAATCGGATATAATTGACCCGATTCGTCGTGGAAACACGGGTAAACATTATGCGAACCTATATTTCATGTGGTGCGTATGGGTCGACCAACGGCGGTCATTGTCGTCGGCCGAAGAAGGTGTTCCGATCAAAATAGATGAGAACGGGAATGGGTGGCTGGAGTGAGTCTGTTCGCGAATTCCTCGGACCATTTCGGAGAAAAGATAGCGCAACTGAGATAGGCCAGTACCCCCGAAATGATTTGTTCGTGTGCCTTACCATCGCCGCAATTTGTTGGCGTTTAAACGACGATTTTTTCTTGACTGAGGACATCACAGCGATGATGACGACGACGTCACAAAGGCATACAGGCTTCTGAAGAGCGTTTGCCGATGGCCGAAATGCGAAAATGCCATGACGAGAATGGAACGGAATGAGGCAACGAAAGGGAGAAGGGTTACGACCGTGAGAAGATGCCAAATACACGCAGCTGCCCAGTAAGGACAGCCGTTAAAAAATTTGAGGATGACATAAACTGAAGCAATATCTGCTCGGTTCGGCATGAGAGGGGCATTTTGTACTTACACACCTCACCTTGGTAAGAGTTGCATACTTTAGTCGAGTGCCAACGAAGCTCCTGCTATTGTAATTTCACAGGAATTCACAGGTATCCACAGAAGACATCGGCATGATCGATGGGAACTAGCGAAATGCCCGTAAAGCGAACTGCTTTTAAAACGGGCACCCAGCTATGTCAGCTGCTCGATAATAAAGTAGAAGGGTGCGTAAATTGATTTTTGAAGGAGGGAGTAGTGAGAGTCATAGCACACTTTTCCAGTTTTCCAGGATGGGGTTCAATTATCCCTATATTATCGCAGCTGGATTGCCATCTGTACATGCCTTACGCGAAGTTTCTACAAATTATAGTTTACCGAATTTTCTCACATACTATGAAAGATCTTTTACTCTCATCGATGAACGATGAATTGGGGGTCCGTATTGGGAATCGTGATATATTTCCGCTGAATCGTCTGTTTATAGAGTTCAAAGAAAGCCTTCAGAAAAACTTGCAGCCACCGGTTCAAGATAACAGGGACAACCTGCTTGAGCGAAAAAAAATCTACTGCGCGAATACGATAACCTCCTATTCGCGTTGCCCAATTCCCAGAACAATTTCCGCACTTTCCCCCCCCCCCCCCAAAAAAACTGCGGTCGATTGAGAGACGCGGGGGGGGGGAGAGAACGCATAGCGCACTTCGAAAAGGAATCACAAAATGCAACAGTCGAAAACTTGAACTAATATGGTCCCCTTCCCACTTAGCGACGAAAGACGATTCCCTTTGGTGGGAATGCCCTGTTCAGTAACAAAACTATCACTAAAATTCCAACCGATATTTCATCAGCTTACCGAAAAGGGTCACTATGATACGTAAGGAGGAACATTTTGTCGCACTGAGCACCCAATGCAATCAAAATTACGGCAAACAATTACTTCACCTAAGGGCCTTTGCCCTTGGGTTTAGGCGAAAATCCCCAACTTCTCGGCTCATGAACGCTTCTTCGCACTTTTCAGCACCAAATACCACCCACCATTTGAAAAAATCGAAAACATCGCATGGAAATAAAGCTCGACAATTAGCAGGTTCAATGGACACCTGGTGCAAAATCAGGATTACTGTAATCCACATGAACTATTGCACCTGACCCTCCACATCAGAGGACTGGCGCCGAACACTTCATTTTTTTACAGGAATCAGAAGCATTTTGAAATGAAGTGGAACTCGAGCCCATTCGAAATGTGTGGTGCAAATGCGTTTGAGTTACTAGAGATCTGGTTTGTTCGTAGGAAAAATATAAAAGTAGTTGTCAAAAATCAAAATCCGCGCAGTTCGGCTTGGAGGGGGCATTTTTGAACTTTCACTGCTTCCCATTGGCACGCCGAGTTATCAAGTAAAGATTTGTAAAATCTTGTGAAGTCACGGAGTGATACCAGCAAAAACTTGTAGAAACTACTTGTCATCCCTTGTAAACACGACCATAGGAGCTGGCGAAGTAGCGAGGTGCAAAATGCCCCCCCCCAGGCCAAGTTGCGCCTCAAAAT